ACGACCAACAAGGCACGCTTAAAGTCTCGACGCCTGCTTACGTTACATGAACCTCGTAGTCTGACTGCACATAGCTGGCGTTGAGCTCCTCCCAGGTAGTCCAGTTGTTGATTTGGATTATGCTGATGATATCGTCTTGCTGGGTGACGATCCACACGTCGTCCAAATTGCACTAAACCGCTTGGCGATTGAAGCATCAAAGTATGGCATGTACTTTTCGCCACGCAAATGCAAGGCTCTCTTCCAAGACTGGCAGGTGCTTCTGCCTGCACTCACTCTTGGTGGTGAGACACTAGAGGTTGTGGAGAGCTTTGTCTACTTGCGAAGTTGCATCACTGCTGGCGGGGCTGTTGGAGACGAGATTTTGATACGCATCTCGAGAGCACGCCTCGGTTTTTCTAGGCTGAGGCACTGGTGGCGTTGCCACGACATTCGTCTCTCCATCAAAGGGCGGGTCTATTGTGCAACTGTTCGTGCTGTACTGTTGTACGGATGCGAGACCTGGCCCATTCGTAAAGATGACTTGCGCAGGCTATCCGCCTTCGAGCACCGCTGTCTGTGGTCCATTGCTCGTGTGTGGTGGCAGCACCACGTAAGCAATGTGGAAGTTAGACAGCGCGTCTTGGGACGTGGAAGCCACTCGCTCGAGGAGCTTGTCTCGCTGCATCAACTGCGGTGGCTGGGACACGTATTGCGCATGCTCGTCCAGCGTTACCCGCGTCGTGCGTTGTTTGCGGTTGCTGGACAGGGCTGGAGGAGACGGTCTGGTGCACAGTCTACAACATGGAGAAGCCGCATGAAAAAGCTGACGAAACAGTTGGCCTCGGTCGGTTATTGTCGATTACCTAGTTGGCGTCCGAGAGATGCGGATACTTGCTGACTGAAGGCCTTGGAAGTCATGGCTCAAAATCGATGTCAATGGCAGACGTGTGCATCGGTGTGTTGCGGTGTCCATTCTTCCCCCCTTAAAAAAAACAAACTGAAAAACTTTCAAAAACGGAGTGGTAAACTAGACAAAAAAGCTGTTGTTGTCGTTGTTGTTGCTTTTTTATTATTATTCATACTGTTTTCTTATTCATCCATGATTCCGATGGCATAATGTCTGTACCATAGTTTGTGTATTTTATATATATATATATATATATATATATATATGTGCCCCATGCTGAGGCTGATGTTGCATTCTTAATGCTTCTTCACCGCAGTTGGGCTAAACCAACTTACACTTAAACTAGGTCTTTTTAAGCTGGATAAATTTCATTCCGCTTTATTTGGTTTGTTCTGCCTCCCTGAATAATGTTCTATTAACTGGCCACGTTGCTTACACTAATTGCGCTTATCTTCGGTAATTTTGTTGCGTTTGTAGCATTTTATGTAACTTGTGGACATTTCTTACTTATCACGGATTTGTTGCTGTCCAACTTACTTCATATGGTAATTTAGCGAAGAGTTATGCCACCGTATCTGTATGCATTATTGGATTTATTTTATTTCAGCTTGTTGTTTAAATTGAATGGCTGTAGTTTGATACCCCTGGTATGGTTGCGCTTGATGTGCATGTTGACAAGGTGCCTACCTGTCTATTACCCACTACATCGTTCATACTGGCTCCAGGAGACAGTTGGTCGTTGCTGGAGGGGACGGGGTGCACGGTTCTTCTGGCCGTGCTAGGCTCAAAGAGCGGTTCCATGCACTCAGTGTGGAGCGGACTACGGTCCAGCCACCGCCTTGTGTGCGGTTGATTCCCCAAATACAGCGTGCTTGTGTTTGCCTGTGAAGGAGTGTGGGCCGGCTCCGTTGATGAAACGTGGTTCCCATCCGCATGCCTCCCTGTCTTATTCCTTCGGGTTTACACTGGATATGGGGTATGTGGTTGGAGCTGTGGGTGGTGCAGCGCAAGCCATCCATGGTCCCTCTGTAGGCGCAGGCGTCCTGTGGCTTGCCACAGTGACAGGCAAATCCGAAACCGGATACCGCCAACCATATATATATATATATATATATATATATATATATATATATATATATATATATATATATATATATATATATATATATATACATGTTCTAGATTCCCACAGGTTTACCGACCTCTCGGATATCCAGTGAATGGTGCGGTAACCATTAGTAGTGCCACAAGCAGATGCTCCTGCGTCGTACATGGCGGCCGAGATCCTATTCCACTGAAGCTCAGTGTCATTAGAACTAGACAACGGAATTTCAATGCGCATTGCGCCTTGATAGGCTTGCCTTACCGACGGCTGATGCATTTTCTCAGTTGCCAGTCGGAGGAGACGCTTGGTGCGCCTCCCGGTAAAGTTCATGGAGAAACGACAGCGTACCAAGGCATGATCAGATTCGACGCAGGTAGTACTGTACGAGTGGCAATCCAGGACGGAACCACGCTCCTGTAACTTATGCCTATGTGGTCAATTAGGGTCCATCGCTGGTCAGCTATAGGAGGACGCCAAGTGGCACTTCGGTGCCCACTGTGTCTAAAAGTATTGCTACTAAGAAACTATTGGTACTCCGCACACAGTTGCAGCAGATGCTCGCCGTTGTCAGTCCGTTCGGAGTTACGTCCATAATTGCTACCTAGCTGAGCTTCTGAAGAGCTCAGACGCACTACTTGTGTGTTCATATCCCCTGCAAGTAATATAATATCTGAACTGGTAGCACTGCGTACTAGTGTGTTCAGTTCGTGACAGAATGTATCCTTGACAGCATTAGAACTGCAGTCGGTGGGATCATGAGCAGAAATCATGAACAAACAGTGTTTTGTACTACTTCGTGAATCAACCTTAGCTGATGTCGTCAAACGGGCCGCACATAAACGACTGTTCATCGGAATCCAATCAACCAACGATAGCTCAACCTTGGAACACAGAATGATACCTACACCAGCTTGACCCGTGAATGCTGCATCGGTGTCTCCGGATGCGTGCAACCAATAACGAGAGGATAAGCCGGGTGCAGTTAATTCAACAACCCGTTAGGGTCATTGGCCCTAGTTTCGGACACACAACGGACATCAATACCCAGTGTGTCCAAGGTGGGTGAGAGAGCAGCCTGTTGACCTATTTGTCTTAAAGTGCGAACGTTGAACGTTGCCATGGAAACGGGACAGCGTGGCCTAATAAGGGGCCTTTTCCGATTGGCGTCCGATAGTTGCTATGGCGTGGTGGCTGCGGATGGTTCTACTCCAGTGGCACTTCGGTTGCTGTCAATTAAGCTGGGAATTATAGAAGGATGTTTAGTAATGGGGTCGGGATGGGAGTAAGAGAAACAGGTGGAAAAGAAAGAGGGGAGGCGCCAGTAGTAGTATGTTTTCGCTTATCCGCCGAAGTGTATGCAGTAGATTAGGCTACCCTTGATGATCTGCGCGACGGTCGATGCAGGATGAAGTTTATGTTTGAAGAAAATGTCATGGTTGTATGTGGGCTGAGATACTGCCAGGGCGGTGATGTTGCGGCCGCTATTGCATGTGCACATTCCAAAAATCATTCGCGTGGTACGGCACAGGCTTGTTTTACAGGACCTAAAATGGATAGTTCATCATATATGCTTCGAGCGTCTATTTGTGAAATATGGAGCAGTTTGCAAAGGATAATAGTCGAGGCGAAATCGGCGTCGGAATTCGGGGAATTCCTAGACGCCCACTTCGTGGATTACAGTTTCTGAGTTGATATCGCGAATGAATGGGACGTCGCATAGCGGAACTGCGTTGACAGTGCGCGGTAATAATTGAGGTTATTCTGCGTGCATGCCAGAGGAGCAACATAGATGTTAACTTTCCAGCTCTCTATCTTCAGCATTCACTTTTCTTTAGGGGTCTTAGGATGTCAGCCGGAACCTCTAGAGTATGTCACAGAGTCACGACGAGCAACGCTTGTCATAACAGTTACTGACTGATTGGAAGATTGTTTTGTGATAATAGTTGTGTGATTGGTTTACGATTCACAACCTCAATGTGGGCCGTGATTCCCAATGAAGCGAACCTTGATCAACTCGACAATTAGTATCATAGCTACAGCAGTAGGAAATTGGGTGTTGTCCACCTGAAAGCGCTGCATTCCACAACGCGTTTCGGCCTTATTTGACCTCGTCAATTAAAGGTTGTACGCCTCGAATCCGGCATTATTACAATGTTAGTTTGGACCACTACACCTTAAGCCACGGATTACGATGGGCAGCGGTTAGCCCAGTGGTCAGTGCCTGATTGGAGGAACATCTTGAACCAGTCGTTTTGTGATTGGATTGCGATGTGCAATCCGTGGTTGCGGGTGCACAACATTCAAAATCCACCTATCAACTTTATCAGTTATAGTCCCAGTGATCGAATTGACCAGAGTCGTCATCACTAAGCCTGCACACCGAACGGACACTTTGCTGTCACGCGACCATCAACGGTCGTCCGTGGGTACAGTATGCCGTGAGATCTTCCTCACCTAGGCCGATTGGAACCGGTGAACTCCAAATTACGAGGTAAGCACGCAATCCTTTCAGTCACCGGCTGACAAGGACCGACCAAGATTCACTTTAATGCGAATCGCGGTTCACATTGAAATTGTGCGTCGTAATCCAATCACACAAGTAGTGCCTCAAGTAGGACCCTCCAACCAGGTTCGAGGGCCTGCCACCTCTACCTGATGAGACCAAATAATTTGGAAACCGATCGCAGAATACATTTTTTGCACACTACCAGGTTTCATTCCTAATCGAGCTTCTTACTTGATGTGGCGGTGCTTTACATTTTTGTGGACCGTGGAAAGTGAAAGCATTTTTCTCCGACATAATTGCTTTCATTCAGTTTGGGCACAAACAGCTGTGTACGAGATTACAGTCACTGTGTAAGTAGGAGAAGGTCACGCCACGCGCTGTTTTCACCCACATACTACATTTAGTATTTCCTATTTCTCTTGGGTTGCTGAACTTGATGTTACGAGTTCCACGACTCTTACATCCGCTTTCTTCTTAACTTTTCCTTTTTCTTTCATCAGTTGCTGGTTCTATCGGTTTGACCATCTTCTGCTCGTCTGCCCTCATTTTCTGGTACGGGATCAAACTGATCATCGAAGAAAACTATGATCAAGGATCTGTGGTTTTGGTAAAGTTCTTCTAAGTGCACTGATTTCTGCTGTCACCGTAAACAGGTTAATTGAAGTTTATTTCCCTGAACTCAGATGATCGGTATAGGCTAGCATGTCCCCTGTGGGCGTTGGTTTAGAAGCTAATTTATAAGACCAAATGGGGGATTTCTTAACTGTTTAAATATGCTGCAACACATCCGCGGTCCCTGACTTCAATGCTTTACTTTTCGACCGTAACAATCGCTTTGCACATAGGGGTTCGCGAGTTTAGTCTTCTATACATGATGATCATTGCTCGCTTTCTTCGAATCCCTTCTGAACAATAACTGCTTCACCCCGAAACCCTGATCTTTCCCTGTTTACAACCTAATTACTGCAACTTCTCACATGATATCTTTGCCTGTTGATGGTCAAGGTGACCTAGTGCAATTTCGCCAGCACCTGGCACCAGATCTTTGGTGGCGGTGTGCGCTGTGTGCCGTTTGCTTCTCGCTCGTCGCTTCGTTCCAATTCACCACTTCCTAGTAGATGAGCATCTGTTGGTGTCACAAGTACTAACTCAACCAAACACTCAGCACCTATGTGGACAAATATCAGTGGAATCAGCGAACTGATAGATCGCTTTCCTGCCTCACGTCATTTCTAACCCGCGCACAGTTAATGAATGGTAATCGGTTCCTAGAATTTTTCTAGTTTGTTGGTAACTATTAAGAAAGTTGGCTGACTGAGTATTAACTACGTTAGTAAGCATTTATACGACTTTATCTCGTGTTACTGAGCGCTAGGAATACTGATCAATTTCACTTCTGGTCACCGATCTGAAATACTTTCATTCGGTGAGCCACTTTCAGTCTTTTGGAACTAGGTAACGAATAATTGTGATGGAAGGCCTCTATTCACTTATTTAACGTGGCAAACTTTATGGGGCTAGTGTAGATTTTAGTAACTACTGTCAAACCCGCTTTATTGCCCAGCCTGTTTATAGTCCACCTCGCTTTATTGCCCAGTCCTTCAAAATACCATTCGTTTTCTCATAAATAGGCTAAATTTTCACCATCAAATTACCCATTACCTGGGTCGTCCCACCGGTTAATTACCCAGATGCGGGGGCTATGCTCTTGTGGTTGTGTCAATTTTATGCCATCTCTTTGACTCATTCAATACACGAGCAAGCTAAATGTACCTACGGCTGTGGGCAAACCCTCGGCCCTATTCAAAACTCGTGAATTGAGCAAAGTCGGGTAAACTTTCCGCCATGACCCGGTTAAAGAACCGGATAGAGTCTCTTATACATAACCGTGTAATCTATCTAAAACCATAAAACAGGATACATGCGTCCACGTCCTTACTAATGAAAAATCGGATACACACCCCTAGATATCTCACTGAATCTAAACGTAAGTTCCATAAACCGTACAAGCGAAACATAATTTTTATAAGACTAGGAATAGTAACCAGAACATATTTTAAATCATGAGGGAGTTTTGGAAAATCATATTTCGGTGTACCTGGAGTATTTTGCGTCCGAGCGACTATATATTTATATATTTATTCACAGTCTGTTAACAGACATTGTGCCATCAGAACCACGGCAGAAGAAAAAGGTGAAGAAGATGGGAACACTAATGCGATTTAAAAAATGTGGGAAACGATTTTTTTGTGGTTTTACACACGCCATTTTGTTTTTTTTGCTTTGTGAGTTTGTATGTGTATCAAAGGGATGGTGAAATTGCGGAACAACATTGCCGCCACTGATGTCTGTTGCGGGCCATGACGTCCAGTGTTTCCAACCACTGCAATTCAGCATCTCGTGGTCCCCAACCTGGGAGGCGGACTGGTCCGACTGCTGCCAAACTTGAGGTCGCCTTCTTCATACTCCTTCTCCACGTCATCGGCTGTCCACCGCGGCACCTTTTCCAATCGCTCCCTGGGAGTGCAAATAGCGCTCGACGTGGAAGGCGATGGGCTGGCATGCGCAGAACATGCCCGAGCCAGCGCATGCGATGTCGGAGAATAACGTCTTGAAGACTGGCACTATTCGCCCCAAGCACGCGGTCTTTCACCTCTGCGTTGCTTACGTGGTGTTGCCACCACACCCGAGCAATCCTTCGTAGACAGTGATTATCAAAGACTGATAGCCGCTTCATATCTTCCGAGCGAATAGGCCAAGTCTCACAGCCGTACAAGAGTACTGCACGGACGGAAGCATTGTACACCCTGCCCTTGAGTTTGAGACTGACATCACGACGACGCCATAGATGTCTCAGTTTGATGAATGCAAGGCGGGCCTTTGCAATCCGTTGTGAGACTTCATCTCCAACACCGCCACCAGCCGTGATGCAACTCCTTAGGTAAGTAAAGCAAGGGACTTGCTCCAGAACATGTCCAGCAATGGTGAGCGCGGGTTCAGGCACCTGCCAATCCTGGAGCAGCGTTTTACATTTTCCCGGAGTGAAGCATAGGCCATACTTAGATGCCTCCATCGCCAAGCGGTCCAGAGCGTTCTGGACGGATTGTGGGTCGTCCCCCAGCAAGGCGATATCATCGGCGTAGTCCAAGTCCGTGACTCTTTCTCCAGGGAGAAGCTCAACACCGCAGTCCTGGACACCTTCCAGTGCTCTTTGGAGAACATCGTCGATGGCGAAATTGAAGAGGAAAGGTGAAATAGGGCAACCTTGGCGAACACCGCTGGTCACAGCGAATGAAGAGGAGTGCGTGCCGTAAGCCCTAACTTTGCCCGACGTGTGACTGTAAAGTACTTTCAGGATGGTTACAAACTTGTCGGGCACACCTTTCTTCAGTAAACAGTTCCACAACGCAGATCTATCTACTGGATCAAATGCCGCTCGGATGTCTAAAAACACTACGATTGTTGGCCGCCGGTGGATGTGACGAAGTTCGTGAACTTGCCGAAGCGTGAAGATTTGGTCGATGCAGCCACGGCCTGGACGAAATCCGGCTTGTTCTTCTCGGGAAAACTCCTCTCTAGTCGTTGAAAGCCTGCTAAGTAGGACCGACACGAAGATTTTGGATGCGACAGAGATTAGGGAGATTCCGCGGTAGTTGCAGCAATCGGCGCGGGAACCCTTCTTGTGAATCGGGACAATGACCGATTCTCCCCATGAGCTCGGAACCTTCTCCTCAGTCCAAACTTTCGTGAACAGCGATAGGATTTCGCTGATAAGTAAACTCCCACCATCTTTGAATAGAGCTGGTGGTAGGTTGTCTGGGCCCGAAGCTTTGTGGCGTTTCAAAGATTGGACTACATTTCGAATCTCTGCTTCATTTGGGGGGGCTGTGGAGACAGGCCAAGCATCATACATTGGGAGTGGAGGTGTCGCAGGGGACTGGGTTGGGTGGTTGAATTGAAGGGCGAAATGCTCTGACCAGCGACCCAATCGTCTGTGAAGGTTGGTGATCTTCGTGCCGTCTGCCTCGCAAATCATCTGGCTGATAGCGTGGGAATTGCAACCAGTGGCCCTGGTGATGTAAAACAGGCGGCTGAAGTTTCCAGCTGATGCAGCGGCTTCCATCTCACCAGCTTGTTTTGACCACCAGGATTCACGATCAGAGCGAAGGCTTGCTTTCAGCTGTTGCGTAATAGACCGGCGGTGTTCGTTGTACTCTGCGCCAGCAGGCACCGCCCGTCGACGATCCAGCAATTCTGATGATCTTCCCGAGCGACTAAAAGCATTATGGTCTGAGACACAACGTCAACTCGGTGGCTCCCGGTTTTTGACGCTTTCCATGATTGTGCTGCCCAACCACAATCAGCTGGAATTAGTACGTCAGAGCCGTGCTACAGAGTGAATGTTTCTCGCCTCTTTCTCGCGAGCACTAACTTTCGACATAGCATCCGCAGAAGCGTGACTTGGCGGCCACCAGTCTCGGACCAGCCATTGACGCAAATCGACCATACCGCGATCAGTTACCGCTGGAGAGGCTTTGTCCAAAATTGTCGCTCGATTTGGAGCACGAGCGTGGACTCTGACCACGCACTTGTCTGTGCCGACCTCCGGGTGCGTTTCGGTGGACGTCCGCAACGTGGATGTGAACGGATTGACACCAGCCAGCTGGCGAAGCCAGATGTTCTGAATGTGTACCAAAGTGCGCTGAGATCTGGGCTGAGTAAGCGCCCAGTAAACACCGTTGAAGATCACTGGTCACATATTCGTCAAACGTTACTATTAGCAGGCATGTCTTCATGTGGCAAAGCAAATTGCCAAACCGGACATTGGGTCTCTACACAGTCTCTGGAACTTATGGATGCTCGCCGACGTATTCCGGCTGGAAGCGAATACAATGAGGCTCGCAAAAATCTCAGGGCAAAACTACGTGCTAGCCTTATTAAGGACCGCGAAACCTGGTGGTCTCATCGTGCCTCTGAGATGGAAACAGCCGCTGTCGTTGGTAATCATCGTAAGTTATTCCGTCTGATACGGGAAACTGGCAGAAGTAGAGCTGGTGTTAGCGAGACCATACGCGACGAGAGTGGGCAGTCGATCCACAGCCTGTCAAAACGCTTGGAGCGTTGGGCTGAACGCTTTGCTAGGCAATTTAACCAACCTGAGTCATCGCTTACTACTTCGGGCATTGTGCGCCCTTCTCCCTGGGCAGTCTCCTTGGATCCGCCCTCACGCGCAGAAGTCGAACGTGAGATCAGGCTGTTGAAATTGCATAAGGCCGCAGGGGCAGCTAGAATTCCCCCAGCCCTCTTCAAATTCGGAGGACCTACTCTAGTAGATGATTTACACGAGTTGCTGGTAAAACTTTGGGAGCAGGAGACAGCCCCGACAGACTGGAACCGCTCCGTCATTGTCCCAATTTTCAAGGGAATCTCCCGTTTGGAGTGCGACAATCATAGAGGGATCAGTCTCATTTCGATTGCCTCTAAATTGCTTGCCTCTGTCATTCTCCACAGACTGACTGGCACTCGTGAAGAGCAGGCCGGATTTCGTCGAGGTCGGGGCTACATCGACCACATCTTCACGTTGCGTCAAGTGTTGGAGCACCGCCA